ACTTCTAAAAGTGCTCCGAAGCTGCGGTGTTTTATACATTTTGACTTGGAAATGTGCTTGGCGCCACAACGGCGTGCAATTTTTCATCTCTCATCTGGCCAGCTGGCTCTGCACCCGCCGCTTTAGAGAGCCTATACTTTTCGACCCTCCGGAGCCGCAAATCATTGGAAAAACACTGTGTCGCGACTTTCCCACCTTTTCGCGCATCTGCATCTTCTTTCTTCTGACTCTTTCTGTTCTGTCATCTTCTCTCGAAGTAAGTTGAGAAGTCAAACTTCCGACAATATGGACAGATGAAAAGCCGAGATGGGAAGATTCAGAGAGAAGAGAAGAGTAGAAGAGAGAAGATGAGAGAACAGAAAGAGCCAGAAGAAGGAAGATGCAGATGCGCGAAAAGGTAGGAAAGTCGCGAAACACTGTGTTTTCCCAATGATTTGCGGCTCCGGAGGGTCGAAAAGTAGGCTCTCTAAAGCGGCGGGTGCAGAGCCAGCTGGCCAGATGAGAGATGAAAAATTGCACGCCGTTGTGGCGCCAAGCACATTTCCAAGTCAAAATGTATAAAACACCGCAGCTTCGGAGCACTTTTAGAAGTTGCGATGTCGAAAAAGTGCACGCCGTTGCGGCGCGAAGCACATGTCGAAGTCAAAAGTGCAAAAGACTGACGGGTACGGAGCACTTTTCGACGTTGAGATGTCGAAAAAGTGCACGCCGTTGTGGCGCCAAGCACATGTCGAAGTCAAAAGTGTAAAAAACTGACGGGTACGGAGCACTTTAAGAAGTTGAGATGTCGAAAAAGTGCACGCCGTTGCGGCGCGAAGCACATGTCGAAGTCAGAAGTGCAAAAGACTGACGGGTACGGAGCACTTTTCGACGTTGAGATGTCGAAAAAGTGCACCCCGTTGCGGCGCGAAGCACATTTCGAAGTCAAAATGTTAAAAACACCAGGGGTTCGGACCACTTTTGGAGGTTCAGATGTCGTTTGGCGTGGCAGGCGCAAGGGATTGTGCACCTTGTTAGAAGGGAGCCAAACGTGAGGGTTTTGTAGCATTTCCAAAAAGGATGGCAGGAGTGGGACATTTGAAGAGGATCTGCAAAGATGCATTTCCGTGGCAGGCGCAGTACAAAAGACATGTTCATCAGAGATGTTAGGAGGTCAGGGCGCTGATTTCCTGAGACGGGTTGCATTTTGGAGCATCAGATCTTCAGGTTTTCTGAGATGATTTTGCGTGACAGGTGCAACACTTCGTATGACCTGGCATCACTTTTTCGTGGCAGGCGCAGTACTTTCGACAGGTGGACTGGAAAAATCGCAAAACGCAATAGTACGAGGCTGTCAGCTCTGCACTCAACTTTCCATTTTTCCCGAGAGCGTCTGAGCGCAGGGTTCTTCCAATAGTGGGGGTCTGTCAAACATCTTCTCATCTTCTCATCCTCATATCTTCTCATCTTCACATCTTCTCATCTTCACGCATCTTCTCATCCTCACATCCTCACATCTTCACATCCTCACATCTTTATATCTTCTCATCTTCACATCCTCACATCTTCACATCTTCTCATCTTCACATCTGCTCATCTTCACATCTTCTGATCATCACATCTTCTCATCCTGAGATCTTCTCATCTTCACATCTTCTCATCTTCATTTCTTCTCATCCTCACATCCTCACATCTTCTCATCTTCTCATCTTCACATCTTCTCATCTTCATTTCTCCTCATTCTCACATCACATCTTCACATCTTCACATCCTCACATCTTCACATCTTCTCATCTTCACATCTTCACGTTCTCTCTTGCCCTCTTGCTCTCTTGCCCTCTTGCTCTCTTGCCCTCTTGCCCTCTTGCCCTCTTACCCTCTCCTTCTTTTCTATTTCTCTCTTGAAGTCTCGGGGCAGTGCCAACGAGACGGCACGAAACGCAACCCTTTCGCACGAAATGAGGTTCGATCGCCAAAAGCTGAGGTAAAATTGCGATTTCCCGGTTCCCGTCGCAACCCTTTCGCACGAAATGAGGTTCGGTCGCCAAAACCTGCAATAAAATTTCGATTTCCGGGTTCCCGGCGCAACTCTTTCCCACGAAATGAAGTTCGATGGCCAAAAACTGCGGTAAAATTGCGATTTCCAAGTTGTCCGGCGAAGTGTGTAAAAGCTTCTGTGTAAAAGTCTCTGTGTGTAAAAGCGTCTGTGTGTAAAGTGTAAAAGCGTCTGTGTGTAAAAGCGTCTGTGTGTCAAAGCTTCTGTTTGTAAAAGCGTCTGTGTGACAAAGTCTCTGTGTGTAAAAGCGTCTTTGTGTAAAAGCGTCTGTGTGTAAAAGGGTCTGTGTTTAAAAGCGTCTGTGTGTAAAAGCTTCTGTGTGTAAAAGTGTCTGTGTGTAAAAGGGTCTGCGTGTAAAAGTCTCTTTGTGTAAAAGCGTCTGTGTGTAAAAGCGTCTGTGTGTAAAAGCGTCTGTGTGTAAAAGTGTCTGTGTGTAAGAGCGTCTGTGTGTAAAAGCGTATGTCTGTGTGTAAAAGGGTCTGCGTGTAAAAGCTTCTGTGTGTAAAAGCTTCTGTGTGTAAAAGCGTCTGTGTGTAAAAGTCTCTGCGTGTGAAAGTTTTTATGTAAAAGCGCCTGTGTGTAAAAGCGCCTGTGTGTAAAAGTGTCTGTGTGTAAAAGCTTCTGTGTGTAAAAGTCTCTGTGTGTAAAAGCGTCTGTGTGTAAAAGCGTCTGTGTGTAAAAGCTTCTGTGTGTAAAAGTGTCTGTGTGTAAAAGGGTCTGCGTGTAAAAGTCTCTTAGTGTAAAAGCGTCTGTGTGTAAAAGCGTCTGTGTGTAAAAGTGTCTGTGTGTAAAAGTGTCTGTGTGTAAGAGCGTCTGTGTGTAAAAGCGTATGTCTGTGTGTAAAAGGGTCTGCGTGTAAAAGCTTCTGTGTGTAAAAGCTTCTGTGTGTAAAAGCGTCTGTGTGTAAAAGTCTCTGCGTGTGAAAATTTTTATGTAAAAGCGCCTGTGTGTAAAAGCGCCTGTGTGTAAAAGTGTCTGTGTGTAAAAGCTTCTGTGTGTAAAAGTCTCTGTGTGTAAAAGCGTCTGTGTGTAAAAGCGTCTGTGTGTAAAAGCGTCTGTGTGTAAAAGCGTCGGAGTGTAAAAATCTCTGTGTGTAAAAGCGTCTATGTGTAAAAGTCTCTGTGTGTGAAAGTGTTTGTGTGTAAAAGGGTGTGTGTGTGTGTAAAAGCGTCTGTGTGTAAAAGCGTCTATGTGTAGAAGCGTCTGTGTGTAAAAATCTCTGTGTGTAAGGGGTCTGCGTGTAAAACCGTCTGTGTGTACAAAGTGTCTGTGTGTAAAAGCGTCTGTATGGAAAAGCCCCTGTGTGTAAAAGCTTCTGTATGTACAAGCGTCTGTGTGTAAAAGTGTCTGTGTGTAGAAGCGTCTGTGTGTAAAAGCGTCTGTGTGTAAAAGCTTCTGTGTGTAAAAGGGTCTGCGTGTAAAACCGTCTGTGTGTAAAAGCTTCTGTGTGTAAAAGCTTCTGTGTGTAAAAGCGTCTGTGTGTAAAAGTCTCTGCGTGTGAAAGTTTTTGTGTAAAAGGGTCTGTGTGTAAAAGCGTCTCTGTCTGTGTGTAAAAGCGTCTGTGTGTAAAAGTGTCTGTGTGGAAAAGCGTCTGTGTGTAAAAGCGTCTGTGTGTAAAAGCGTCTGTGTGTAAAAGCGTCTGAGTGTAAAAATCTCTGTGTGTAAGAGCGTCTATGTGTAAAAGTCTCTGTGTGTGAAAGTGTTTGTGTGTAAAAGTCTCTCTGTGTGTGAAAGTGTTTGTGTGTAAAAGCGTCTGTGTGTAAAAGTCTCTGCGTGTGAAAGTTTTTGTGTAAAAGCGCCTGTGTGTAAAAGCGTCTCTGTGTAAAAGCGTCTGTGTGTAAAAGCGTCTGTGTGTAAAAGCGTCTGTGTGTAAAAGTCGCTGCGTGCAAAAGCGTCTCTGTAAAAAGCGTCTGTGCGTGAAAAGCTATACGAAAGATACGATGCAAACTATTGTCTTGCGCTTGTGATATATTGTCTTGATACTACTCTTCTCGTCTGCTTATGATATATTGTCTTGTAATATAGTGTCTCCATACTAACAACAGAAGACTCTGCTCCTCTACGCTCTCGGGCCATCCGTCGTCTAGTTGAAGGAAGTCTCGCAGAATTGCTTGGTTTTTGATGTTGTCAAGTTCAAACGTTGAAGACGTCTCGCAGAATTGCTTCGTTTTGGATGTTGTCAAGTTCAAAAAATGAAGAAGTCTCGCAGAATTGCTTCGATTTGATGTTGTCAACTTCGAAAAATGAGGACGTCTCGCAGAAGAGCTTCGTTTTTAAGCTTGCAGATAGGCAGCTAGATAGACAGACAGACAGAGATAGATAGATAGATAGATAGATAAATAGATAGATCGGTCGATCGATCGATAGATAGATACATAGATAGATAGGTAGGTAGGTCGATAGATAGATAGATAGATAGATAGATGGACAGATAGATAGATAGAAAGATAGAAAGATAGAAAGATAGATAGATAGATAGATAGATAGATAGATAGATAGACATATAGATAGATAGATAGATCGATAGATCGATAGATAGATAGATTAGATAGATAGATAGAAAGATAGATAGATAGATAGATAGACAGATAGATAGATAGGGAGATAGCTAGCTAGCTAGCTAGGTAGGTCGGTAGGTAGGTGGGTAGATAGATAGATACATAGATAGATCGGTATGTAGGTAGGTAGGTTGATAGTCAGAGAAAGAGCAAGAGAGAGAAAGAGAGGAGACCTCAACCACCTTTCGGTCCATCAGAGGATTCGCTCTGCCATCCGTGATTCACAACAACCAACCTCTCCTATAGGTTTCCTACTTTTGAAACTTCCGCCACCGCCTTGTGCGGTAGTACTGGTATATACTGTATATATATATATATTTATAATGACATATATATATATATATACACATACACACAGACACATACCATCATATACCTTTTATCATATACCTCAGTTACGCTCCAAGGTGGATTGGAAATCCCGATACGCAGTTAGCGGGTCTCACGAGCCTTGGTTGCTTTGGCCGACACACTCCCACTCAGTGCGTCTCAGCTTCATAGATTTCCACAGTGAGGACTGCACTCTCCGTATTTGGGATCTTGATCATGGAATTTGCGTTTTGGTCTCAGAAATTGGTTTTGTCTGAGAGTTTGTGGCGACTCTGCTTCCAGAAGACACGAGATAAAGATGGAGCATGGGACAGCTGAGGTTCAAGCAATTCCTGTTGCAGAGCACGCTGCCTTTTGTGCTTTGGCCCTGTTTCTCATGGCAGTTTTTTTTGCAAATTGCATTGTTCGAAAAATGTTTCTGCGGACTGCAAGATTCCCCTGTAATCTCAACTTATGTAACATATATATATATATATTTACTGTACACATGTTGATTTATATAATTTAAGGGGCTGACGCCCAACAGCGGGCCAGCAGGCCAAAACGTGCAGGGTGGGATCAGCAGCATCAGCATCATCATCATCATCATCATCATGATCAGCATCAGCCTCAACAACTCATCCTCATCACCAGCATCATCATCATCATCATCATGATCAGCATCAGCCTCAACAACTCATCCTCATCACCATCATCATCATCATCATCAGCATCAGTCTCAACAAGAAGAACAACAACGAGAAGAAAACAAAAACAAGAACAACAAGAAGAACAAGAAGAACAACAAGAACGACAACGACAACGACAACGACAAGAACAACAACAACCAGAACGAAAACAAGAACAACAACCACAACGACAACGACAACATCAAGGACAAAATGACGACAACAACTACAACAATAACAACTACAACAATAACAACAACAACGAAAACAACAACAACAGCAACAGCAACAACAACAACAACCACAACAACAACAACAACAACAACAACAAGAACAACGACTACAACTACAACTGCAACTACAACTACAACGGCTACTACAACAACTACAACAACAAAAACTACTACTAGTACGACGACGACTAGGACTGACACAACACCAAGCACAACAAGAACAACAGCAACAACAGCAACAACAGCAGCAACAACAACAACGACACTAACAACGACAACAACGACAACAACAACAATAACAACAACCACAACGACAACATTGTTGTGATTGTTGTTGTTGTTGTCTTGTTGTTGTTGTTGTTGCTGTTGCTGTTGCTGTTGTGGTGATTGTTGTGGTGATTGTTGTGGTGATTGTTGTTGTTGTTGTTGTTGTTGTTTTTTGTTTTTGTTGTTGTTGTTGTTGTTCATTTTGAGGCTGATGGTGATGATGATGATGATGATGGTGATGATGATGATAATGATGATGATGTTGATGTTGATGTTGATGATGAGCATGTTGGTGGTGATGCTGCTGATGTTTCTGATGTTGTTGATGTGATTGTCTGTTGCAACAACAACAACCACGACAACAACAACAACAGCAACAGCAACAACAACAACAACTATCACAACAATGTTGTGGTTGTGGTTGTGGTTGTGGTTGTTGTTGTCGTTGTTGTCGTTGTTGTCGTTGTTGGTGCCGTTGTTGTTGTTGTTGCTGTTGCTGTTGCTGTTGCTGTTGTTGTTGTTGTTTTTCTTCTTCTTGTTCTTCTTGTTGTTGTTGTTGTCGTGGTTGTTGTTGTTCTTGTTGTTGTTGTTGTTGCTGTTGCTGTTGTTGTGATTGTTGTTGTTGTTGTTGTTGTTGTTGTTGATGTTGATGTTGATGACGGTGATGGTGATGATGATGATGATGATGATGATGAGGATGTTGGTGGTGATGCTGCTGATGTTGTTGATGTTGTTGATGTTATTGTCTGTTGCATCAATTTGGAGCTAAGTTGGGCCATCTCGGGGCTATGTTGGGCCATCTTGGAGCTATGTTGAGCCAGCTTGGGGTCATGTTGGGCCATCTTGGAGCCATCTTGGGGCCACGTTGGGCGTTGGGGCCATGTTGGGCCTATGCTGGGCCATCTTGGGGCCATCTTGGGCCTATGTTGGGCCATCTGGGGCCAGCTTGGAGCCATGTTGGGCCTATGTTGGGCCATCTTGGGGCTCATCTTGGCCCATCTTGTGGCTATGTTGTGGCAAGGGGGTACCCCCCAATTTTTTTTCCCCGATTTAAGGTCTTTTTTTGAGGAGCAAAAAGCACCGTAAATTACGAGGTTTTTTGGTGGCTGATCATAGGTCGGCGGTAGGGGGCGGCAGCCGTATAGCTAAAGCTACGGCCTTCGGCCAGGGGCTTTGCCCGTCGACAGGGCCTGCTGGCCCGATTTAAGGGGCTGACGCCCAACAGCGGGCCAGCAGGCCAAAAGGTGCAGGGTGGGATCAGCATCATCAGCAACATCATCATCATCATCATCAGCAGCAGCAGCATCATCATCAGCACCATCATCATCACAACCATCATCATCATCATCATCATCATCATCACAACCAACATCATCATCATCACCACCATCATCATCATCATCATCATCATCATCACCATCAGCCTCAAAATGAACAACAACAACAAAAACAAAAAACAAAAAACAACAGCAACAACAACAACAACAACAACAACAACCACAACCACAACCACAACCACAACCACAACCACAACCACAACCACAACAACCACGACCACGACCACGACCACAACCACAACGACAAGGACAACGATAGCGATAAGGACAACGGCAACAACAGCAACGACAACGACAACGACAACGACAACAACAACAGCAACAACTACTACGACTACTACGACTACTACGACTACTACGACTACTACGATACTACGACTACTACAACCACAACCACAACAAGAAACACAGCAACAACAACAACAGCAACAGCAACAACGACCACAACAACAACAGCAACAACAACAACGACGACAACAACAACAGCAACAACAACAACAACAACAGCAACAAAAACAACAACACGAACAAGAACAACAACTGTTGTGGTTGTTTCTGCTGTGGTTGTGTTTGTAGTTGTGGTTGTGGATGTGTTTGTGGTTGTGGTTGTTGTTGTTGTTGTTGTCGTTGTCGTTGTCGTTGTTGTTGTTGTCGTTGTTGTCGTTGTTGTTGTTGTTGTTGTTGTTGTCGTTGTCGTTGTGGTTGCTGTTGTTGTTGTTGTTGTTGTTGTTGTTGTTGTTGTTGTTCTGGTTGTTGTTGTTGTTGTTGTTGCTGTTGCTGTTGCTGTTGTTGTCGTTGTTGCTGTTGCTGTTGCTGCTGTTGTTGTTGTTGTTGATGATGATGATGATGTTGTTGTTGGTGATGTTGTTGTTGTTGCTGTTGATGTCGTTGATGTTGTCGATGTGGTTGATGTTGTTGTCTTTTGCCTCAGTTTGGAGCTAAGAGCCAAAAGATCCGAAAAATTGGAACAGCAAAAAAACACTGTAAAACGCAGGATATTTTGATGGTCGGCGGCCTATCTTGGGGCTATGTTGGCCCATCTTGGGACTGTGTTGGCCTATCTTGAGGGCAATGTGTGCCCATCTTGGGGCTATGCTGGGCCATCTTGGGGGCTATGTTGGCCCTTCTTGGGGCTATGTTGGCCCATCTTGGGGCTATCTTGGCCCATCTTGGGGGCTAGGTTGCCCCATGCTGAGGCTATGTTCCATCTTGCGGCCTATGTTGGCCCATGTTGACCCATCTTGAGCCACAAAGGCCAAAAAAATGGGAAAAAATGGGAAGAGCACAAAACACCGTAAAATGCGGGTGTTTTTGGCGGGCTTGGGTCTACTGCGGCTGGGGCGGGGGCCCCTCTCTCCTACGGAGAGGAGAGAAACGCCTACGGCAATGCCACGCCCAGGGGGCCCCTGGCCGGATTTTAGAGCTGACGCTCATCGTCGGCTCCGCCGGATTACTTGACCTCGATGTCATCGCAGCGTGGGCTTGAAAGCTATTGAATGAGGACCTACTGCTTCAGAAATATTTTCCTTATGCTTTTTTGAACAAGTTCATGGAATCATGGAACTGCGGTTTTTTTCTTGGAGCAAGTGGGGAAGGCGTGTTCCCGAAAGCTCCTGCGAAGGTTTTTCCCAGAGAATTGCTGCCAATTTCAACTTTCCACTTCGTGTAAAATCGCCTCTGTGTAAAGAGTTCTCTGTGTAAAAGCTTCTGGGTGTAAAAGCTTCTGCGTGTAAAAGCTTCTGCGTGTAAAAGCTTCTCTGTGTAAAGACTTCTCTGTGTGAAAACTTTTGTGTGTAAAAGGTTCTGCGTGTGAAAGCGTCTCTATGTAGAGATTTTTGTGTGTAAAAACTTCTGTGTGTAAACGCGCTTGTGTGTAAAAGCTTCTCTGTGTAAAGAATTCTCTGTGTAAAAACTTCTGTGTGTGAAAGCTTCCGTGTGTAAAAGCTCTCTCTGTAAAGACTTCTTTGTGTAAAAGTTTCTGTCTGTAAACGCGCCTGTGTGTTAAAGCTGTAAAGACTTCTTTGCGTAACAGCATCTGTGTGTAATAGCTTCTGTGAGAAAACGCCCGTGTGTGTAAAAGCGCCTCTGTGTAGACTTCTCTGTGTAAAAGCTTCTGTGTGAAAAAGTTTCTGCGTGTAAAAGCTTCTCTGTGTAAAGAATTCTCTGCGTAAAAACTTCTGTGTGTGAAAGCTTCCGTGTATAAAAGCTCTCTCTGTAAAGACTTCTTTGTGTAAAAGTTTCTGTCTGTAAACGCACCTGTGTGTTAAAGCTCTCTGTGTAAAGACTTCTTTGCGTAACAGCGTCTGTGTGTAACAGCTTCTGTGAGAAAACGCCCTTGTGTGTAAAAGCTCCTCTGTGTAAAGGCTTCTTTGTGTAAAAGCTTCTGTGTGCAAACGCGTCTGTGTGTAAAAGCTCTCTGTGTAATTACTTCTCTGTGTAGAAGCTGCTGTGTGTAAAAGATCCTGTGTAAACGCATTTGTGTGCAAAATCTCCTTAGAGTAAAGACTTCTCTGTGTAAAAGCTTCTGTGCGTAAAAGCTCCTCTGTGTAATAAAGACTTCTCTTCTCTCTGTGTAAAAGCTTCCGCGTGTAAAAGCCCGTCGGTATAAAGACTTCTCTGTGCAAAAGCCTCTGTGTGTAAAAGCTTCTGTGTCTAAGAGCCGCTCTGTGTAAAAACTTCTCTGTGTAAAAGCCCCTGTGTGTAAAAGCTTCTGTGCGTAAAAGCTTCTGTGTGTAAACGCGTTTGTGTAAATGCGCCTCACCAGCAGCATCCATCATCATATTTTATATTCTTGTGTGCTATCTTCTCGTCTCCTCCCTCCAGCTTTCTTTCGGGTCACGCCGTGGTCCAGTTTCAATCTGCAACGTCGCTTCTTGTGGAAGAATGCCAAGAACATGTGAAAGCATCGCGCGATTAAAAATTGAACACTAGACGACGGATGGCCCGAGAGCGTAGAGGAGCAGAGTCTTCTTCTGCTGTTAGTATGGCGACACTATATTACAAGACAATATATTAAAGATGTATTACAGGCAGACGAGAAGAGTAGTATCAAGACAATATTATATGGCATCGTATCTTTTGCATCGTATCTTTCAAAAAGTTTTTCACGCACAGAACTTTTTACACACAGACGCTTTTGCACACAGACGCTTTTACACACAGACGCTTTTACACACAGACGCTTTTACACACACAAACACTTTTACACACAGACATACACAGACGCTTTTACACAGAAGCTTTTACACACAGACGTTTTTACACACAGACGCTTTTACACACACACAAACACTTTTACACACAGAGACTTTTACACACAGACGCTTTTACACACAGACGCTTTTACACACAGACGCTTTTACACACAAACACTTTTACCTTTACACACAAACACTTTTACACACAGAGACTTTTACACACAGACGCTTTTGCACACAGAAGCTTTTACACACAGACGCTTTTACACACAGACGCTTTTACACACAGACGCTTTTACACACAAACACTTTTACACGCAAACACTTTTACACACAGAGACGTTTACACCCAGAAGCTTTTACACACAGACGCTTTTACTAACACACAAACACTTTTGCACACAGAGACTTTTACACACAGACATACACAGACGCTTTTACACACAGACGCTTTTACACACAGAGGGTTTTACACAGAGACTTTTACACACAAACACTTTTACACACAAACACTTTTACACACAGAAGCTTTTACACACAGACGCTATTACACACAAAAGTTTACACACAAACAGTTTTACACACAAACACTTTTACACAGAGACGCTTTTACACACAGAAGCTTTTACACACAGACGCTATTACACACAGACGCTTTTACACACAGACGCTTTTACACACATCGCAATTTTACTTCAGTTTTTGGCGATCCAACCTCATTTCGTGCGAAAGGGACGTGCGAAAGGGTCGCGTGGGACAAGTTGAAATCGCAATTTTACCTTAGTTTTTGCCGATCCAACCTCATTTCGTGCGAAAGGGTTCACCGGAAACACGAAATCGCAATTTTACCTCAGTTTTTGACGATCGAATTTCATTTCGTGCGAAAGGGTTGCGCCGGACAAGTTGAAATCGCAATTTTACATCAGTTTTTGGCGATCGAACCTCATTTCGTGCGAAAGGGTTGCGCCGGACAAGTTGAAATCGCAATTTTACACCAGTTTTTGACGATCGAACCTCATTTCGTGCGAAAGGGTTGCGCGGGACAAGTTGAAATCGCAATTTTACTCCAGTTTTTGACGATCGAACCTCATTTCGTGCGAAAGGGTTGCGCGGGACAAGTTGAAATCGCAATTTTACATCAGTTTTTGACGATCGAACCTCATTTCGTGCGAAAGGGTTGCGCCGGACAAGTTGAAATCGCAATTTTACCTCAGTTTTTGGCGATCGAACCTCATTTCGTGCGAAAGGGTTGCGTTTCGTGCCGTCTCGTTGCCACTGCCCCTGCTCCCGCCTTCAAGAAAGAAATAGAAAAGAAGGAGAGGGCAAGAGGGCAAGAGGGCAAGAGGGCAAGAGGAGAAGGTGTGAGATGAGAAGATGTAAAGATGAGAAGATGTGAGAAGATGTGAGAAGATGTGAGAAGATGTGAGAAGATGTGAGAAATGTGAGAAGATGTGAAGACGAGAAGATGAGGAGAAGATGGGAGGATGAGAAGATGTGAAGATGAGAAGATGTGAAGATGAGAAGATGTGAAGATGAGAAGATGTGAAGATGAGAAGATGTGAAGATGAGAAGATGTGAAGATTGGAAGATGTGAAGATGAGAAGATGTGAAGATGAGAGGATGTGAAGATGAGAGGATGTGAAGATGAGAGGATGTGAAGATGAGAAGATGTGAAGATGTGAAGATGTGAAGATGAGAAGATGTGAAGATGAGAGGATGTGAAGATGAGAAGATGTTTTACAGACCCCCACTATTGGAAGAACCCTGCGCTCAGACGCTCTCGGGAATAAACAGCGCACAAAGTGCTGTAATTTACAGCATTTTGCGCTGTCAGATGGCAAGAACCCGCGTAAATACCACAGTTTAAGTCCCCGAAAGTGGCTAGAACACTGTTATTTACAGGGTTTCGTTCACGTCACGATCTTCGATTTTTTGAAAAACGCGTAAATACCAGCGTTTTTGCGTTCATCAAGGCAAAAAATCGGAAGAACATGCTGTAATTTACAGGGTTTGGCGCCGCCACGGGCAAAAAACTGCGTAAATACAAGCATTTCGGCGTCCAAAAGTGGCCGAAACACCGCTATTTACAGTGTTTCGTGCCTTCCACGTTTTCTTGAAATTGCAAAAACCGTGTAAATACCAGCATTTTTTGCGATCAACCCGCAAAAAATTGCTGTAATTTACAGTGTTTTTTTTTGCTTTGCTTTCAAAAACAATGGTATTTGCAGTGTTTTGTGCATCTCTGGTTGAAAACGTATTGGTATTTACAGCATTTTCTGCGTTTTGGCTCCCGCAAAAGACGGCAAAATGCAAAAATGCTGTAATTTACAGCATTTTGTGACTTTCGAAAAGCGAAAAATCGTCCGAACAATGTGTCAAAACGGCGCTTTTTCTCGATTTTAGGTACCCTCCAAACGGGGGGAGGAAATGCTCTTGGAGACGCTTATGAGCGACCCGGATTCCAGCCAAAAAGCTCCTAACGTTGCTTTCTGAAGCCACGAGAAAGCTGCTTGGAAAGCGCCCAGAATGGTCGAAAAGCGTCGCCAGGGCGCCGCGGAGTATTTGAAGGGAGGCTACTGCCTAACGTTGCTTTCTGAAGACACTAGAAAACTGCTTGGAAAGCGCCCAGAATGCTGCAAAATTACCCGCGAGGGCGCCGCGGAGCATTTGAAAAAAACTACTACCTAACGTTGTTTTCTGAAGCCACGAGAAAACTGCTTGGAAAGCGCCCAGAATGCTGCAAAAGCTACCCGCCAGGGCGCCGCGGAGCATTTGAAGGGAGGCTGGTGCCCAACGTTGCTTTCTGAAGCCACTAGAAAATTGCATGGAGAGCGCCCAGAATGCTGCAAAAGCCTCCCGCCGGGGTGCTGCGGAGCGTTTGAAGGGAGGCTACTGCCTAACGTTGCTTCCTGAAGCCACGAGAAAACTGCTTGGAAAGCGCCCAGAATGCTGCAAAAGCATCCCGCCAGGGCGCCGCGGAGCATTTGAAGGGAGGCTACTGCCTAACGTTGCTTTCTGAAGCCACTAGAAAACTTAACGTTGCTTTCTGCAGCCATTAGAAAACTGCCACCATTTGAAGGGAGGCTACTGCCTAACGTTGCTTTCTGAAGCCACGAGAAAACTGCTTGGAAAGCGCCCAGAATGCTGCAAAAGCTACCCGCCAGGGCGCCGCGGAGCATTTGAAGGAAGGCTACTACCTAACGCTGCTTTCTGAAGCCACAAAAACACTGCTTGGAAAGCGCCCAGAATGCAGCAAAAGCTGCTTGGAAAGCGCCCAGAATGGTGCAAAAGCCTCCCGCCAGGGCGCCGCGGAGCATTTGAAGGAAGGCCACTGCCTAACGTTATTTTCCGAAGCCACTAGAACATTGTTTGGAAAGCGCCCAGAATGCTGCAAAAGCTGCTTGGAAAGCGCCCAGAAGGGAGGCTACTGCCTAACATTGCTTCCTGAAGACATTTGAAAACTGCTTAGAACGCATCCAGAATGCTGCAAAAGCTACCCGCCAGGGCGGCGCGGAGCATTTGAAGGGAGGCTACTGCCTAACGTTGCTTTCTGAAGCCACTAAAACACTGCTTGGAAAGCGCCCAGAATGCGGCAAAAGCTGCTTGGAAAGCGCCCAGAATGGTGCAAAAGGCTCTCGCCAGGGCGCCGCGGAGCATTTGAAAGGAGGGTACTGCCTAACGTTGCCTTCTGAAGCCACGAGAGAGCTGCTTGGAAAGCGCCCAGAATGGTGCAAAAGCGTCCCGCCAGGGCGCCGCGGAGCATTTGAAGGGAGGCTACTGCCTAACGTTGCTTCCTGAAGCCTCTATAGAAAACTGGTTGGAAAGCGGCCAGAATGCTGCAAAAGCTACCCGCCAGGGCGCCGCGGAGCATTTGAAGGGAGGCTACTGCCTAACGTTGCTTTCTGAAGCCACTAGAAAACTTAACGTTGCTTTCGCTCGCCATTAGAAAACTGCCACCATTTGAAGGGAGGCTACTGCCTAACGTTGCTTTCTGAAGCCACGAGAAAGCCGCTTGGAAAGCGCCCAGAATGCTGCAAAAGCTACCCGCCAGGAGGCGACTGCCTAACGTTGCTTTCTGAAGTCCCTAGAGAAGCTCTAAGCAATTCGAAGCAAGTGCCCGGCAGATGGCCAAAGGCGCGCGCGCGGGAGACGGAAGGTTGCCAAACGCGCCGGCAAGGGCGCTGCGGAGCGTTTGAAGGGAGGGCGCTGCCTAACGTTGCTTTCTGAAGCTATACTAGAGAAGCTCTAAGCAAGCGCCCGGCAGAAGTCGGGCGCCCGGCAGATCGGAAGGCTGCCAAAAGCGGCAGCAAGGGCGCCGGTAAGCATAAAAAGCAAGCTACTGCCTAACGTTGCTTTCTGAAGCCACTCGAAAACTTCTGTTGAAGCGCCCGGCAGATGGCCAAAGTCGTGCACTTGTGCCCTGTTTCTCGGACGCGCTCCCCTTGCAGTTGCCTGGGGTCGGCGGATATTTTGCTCCCAGAGTACAGCATAGACAGTAGGAAGGCCGTGTCTGCGGGGGAATTGTTCAAAGTATTGAACAAATGGTGGACAAAAGTGGCTCCGCCTTGTGGGTCATTTTGCCAAACAAACAAATGTGTTCATTCCTTTCTTCAACCTGCCTTTCTCAGGCATTGAATTCGACCACGGTGCGCACAGGATTTTGACAGGCAAGGGCTCGACTTGAATGGTCTTGTTTTTGCCAGTGGACGGAAAATGGGGATGTGACTTTCAGAAGATTTCACATACTGTAATTCACAGTGTTTTCTGCAGGCTATTGGCCTGGGACACACAGAAAAACAGTAGTTTCTTTTGTGCCATGTCTTGGATCTATTTGCAAGTGGCATTCACGGCAAAAGACCGGCATGTTGTGAATGTGCAAACTACAAACTGTTAAAATGCCTCATTCTAGTAAACAAATGCCACCAAAGACATTCTGACGGCAGATGACAATTTAAACAATATCATGTCTGAAAATTATACTCAGAAAGTGATTGTTTCTTAGTAACAATTTCTTTGTGAAAAGAAGACTGCGCGTGCTTTGCTGAATACTACCTTTTGAAAGCAAAAACAGAAACTTTGAATAGAGTACTGCTTATGTCGCCAAAATACATTTTTTTTTGAAGAAATACTGCACTAGTGAACAACATCCTGCATTTGTTCAAGACGTACTGCATTTACCGAAATACTGCTTCAATAGTGTTGTGTACAAAAATAATACTTCATGTTGGAAGGGCATACTATATGTTCTTAATGAACACTGCTTCCAAAGAACCATCTTGTAAAGAAGAATTCTTTCTCAAATGAACCAACGCGGCATTTCTTTATGAACTGCTTATTCAAAAGACCACACTCCTGATAGAAAATGGTCTGCAAAACAATCTCTTGACGTTCTTACTTGTTCAAACATTGATATTCGATGGCGTGAGGTTCTTGGGACAAGAACGTCAAACTGTGGGACAGCGAGCTTGCAGTGGTTTGGATGCAGAAAACTGTGCTGTTTTCACAGTTTGAACGTCTTTTTGGCTCAATGTTCGTATGATCCGTGTTGAATTCAGACGTTGGAAGCAAAGCTAGTTACAGATCCAGTACAGTAGCTGGATGAGAGTGGTAAACAATGCGGAAAGCTGCATGTCTTTGATTAGAGTTGAAATGCTTCAGTCATAATATCATTTGACTTGAAATGGCACAGGTTTGTGTGGCCACGTTCACGAGTCACACTAAAACTGTGAAGACGGTGAGGCTTGGTTTGAAAGCAGCGACTGCAGGTCTGAAAAGACTTCAAAGCCATCCACTTGTGTCCACTTCCAATGTAATTTTGTGTAAATGCAATATCTTGACGATATTTAGTGATCTATTTAGTGTTTTGTCCCCAAACAGTGTACTGTTAGCGGTTTTTAATGCTATCTTGAGGTGTCCGCCTTGGTGTTGGATGGTGTGTCCGCCTTCCCGAGGGTCTCGTCTCCCTTTGTCTCCCATTGTACCCCTTCTTGTTTCCCTTTGTTGGATGGTGTGTCCGCCTTCCCGAGGGTCTTGTCTGTGCCTGTGTTGGATGGTGTGTCCGTCTTCCCGAGGTCTCGTCTCCCCTTGTCTCCCATTGTCTCCACTCTTGTTTCCCTGTGTTGGATGGTGTGTCCACCTTCCTGAGGCCTTTGTCTCAGCTTGTCTCCCAGCTTGTCTCCCAGCCTGTCTCTCTTCTTGTTTCCCTTTGTGGCGGGTAGTTTTGTTTTGCATAATTCTGCAAACAGTGTACTGTTAGGGGTTCTTAATGCTTTCTTAAGGTGTCCGCCTTGCTGTTGGATGGTGTGTCCGTCTTCCCGAGGTCTTGTTTCCCATCTTGTCTCTTTTCTTGTTTTCTTTGGTGGTCCCATTTTGCATTTTCCCCATAACAGTGTGCTGTTAGGGGTTCTTAATGCTTTCTCATGGTTTTGACATGTTTTGACCGTGTTCCTCAAAACTCTTCTTGAATCCATCCACTGTTTGGGGTCTACGGTGGTGTAACTCCTTTTCAGTATTTTCGGAAGGGTTTTTGTCATGTTGTCAATCTGCACCAGTTCTTTCTCGTGTCAGGCTACACTGGCCAAGCCGAAGGGCCATCAGCGGATCATCTGATGGTGGGCTGCCCATTGGTTTGCTGCTGGTGTCAAGGAAATCGGAGAGAGATGAGAGAGACATTCTTGTTGGAACATGTTGGAACATGTTGGAACCCACTGCAACTGAGCCATGCTAAGTTGGGCCAATAGTTTGAGAGCGTTTGAGGCACATTGAAACTTTGGAACCTGGATGCAGTGGATGACGAAGCTTGCGTCATGACTTTTGAGCATGGCGAGGAGGTGCAAACTAGTGTGGGGCCTGTGTAAGTGGCTTCGATTCAGAATCCTGTGAATTTCCATGGTAATAGCGGTAATAGCAATGTAAGTGCGCCCTACACCGGCGCAGACACATACCCGATGCAGCACACAGTATGAAGCTTCTTCACACCACTGCATCACAGAGCGCTGCTGCAGGTTTGGTCAGCAGATGTGGACTGGGGGTCTTCGAGAGTCCTCAGCGGCGCCATGGACAGTCTTGCCATGTCTTGCGTCTGTTGGTGGCTTGTGAGGGCTGCACTGCGTATATTGACCAGCCCAAAAGCCGAGAGAGGATGGTTCGATCGGCTACTGGAATCTCCAGACCGGTTTGCGCGCGAAGCTTGGACAGTAGGTTGATAGTATTTCAGGTATTTCTTAGTATTTCACAATAATGTTTCATCTGGATGTTCCGCGGGACTATTCATTGATTCCAGTTTGGTGCAGTTTCTTGCTTTGAACCCACATCAGGCCTTGCGACTTTAGCTGGCCACAGAGATGCTGTATCTTGTGTAGCGCTCCGGTGCTCCGAAGGCGAAGATTGGATTTGCGTCACACAAGCATAGAAACCACACATGCACACTCGCGCGCGCGCAACTGCGTGCAGTCGTGCGCTGTCTTAACAAACTCTTGGTTCAACGTAAACTGAGCAGATGCTTCCAAAAGATGAAGAAAGTGGAAGGTTCCATTCCAACATGTCCTCAGCGCAAACCTGGTTTTGACAGGCAAAGCACTGAGTGGAGCATGGGATAGAACAATCAGATTGTGGGACTTGCAGGACGCTGCGGCAGCCTTAGTAGCAGCTTGTAGCAGGTGCTATCTGCGAGTGTCCAATTGGGTTGAATTCATTGTCTCCATGGCCTTGAGGTAGGGCTTGAAAGATCTTGAAGGTAGACATGTAAAGCCAAACTGAACAAGGTAGATAAGGTAGCTGGTGTAGCCAACGGGTTTTTGGTGCTTGGCCAAATTTGATTTGTGCATGCTCGAAGAAGACCTGTGTAGACCTGTAAGGTCTGTCAGGCAGTCCTTCAAAATGGGTATGCAGTGGAACTCCCGGAATTTGAGAGAGACACGACTTTGACGAAACTGAGTGTGTCAGCCAAACTACTTCCAATTGAAAGTATCGAACGCAACTTTGTCTTGTGCTTGACGTGTTCACGCTGTGTTGATCCTGTGTGGATCCTATGCTGATCCTGCGTTGAGCAAAGGTCACCACAATGTCGGTGGATTGGGTCCATCATGTTGCCTTGGTAGGTTCGCAGGAGGTCAGCAGTGGCGTACTGTAGTGGGGATTGTTGCCAGCTGTTTCCCAAGGACTTTCAGAATAGTATAATACAGTGGGATTCCGAAACCAGCCAGCATTGTTCCAAATTTACGAATACCGTTGGAGTTGCACGAGGATTTTGAGGAACCTGGTGGAAGTGAAATGCATCACTCCTTATAGAAAATGCAAAATCCGAGATCACGCATGGTCATGAAAGACTCATGAAAGTGAGAAATACTTTGGATCTCGATGCCAAAGATCCCGTGATTTGCTGGCGCCTTGAGAACCGCGTTGAGAAACACTGCTGGTTGGTCCAACCTGTTGTGTCATTGAGCTTTAAATCTCAGGCGATGAAAGTGTGGAACATCGACACGCGCATTTGTGAACAAGTTTTAGGAGGTCATTTGGATGATGGACCCAAGGCGCCTGATGAAAAAAAAAATGGCTTGCGGGCCCTTGCTGCCCTTCTCATGATTTTTGGTGCTTTTGCTTTGATCCGCTACAACCATTGAAAACACTTGATATCAGGCGTACTCTTCAAGTGGCAGCCCTACTACACCTGCAACTTGGACAGTACAGTTATGTAGCAGTTAATATAATATGTAACATTCAGATCATACAGTTGTTGCAAGGCAACATACAGTTCTTGCAGTGAACTACGAGCTGAGCAGTTCTTGCAGCAACTTGTGTTGTGGAAGCAAATCTTGTTTGGACGATGTTTTCTGCTTCAGACGAGATGATGTCTGATGATGTCTGATGATGTCTGATGATGTCTGATGATGTCCAAGTGGGTCAAGTGGCAAAGGACTAGAGATTGTAGCATACTTGGCATACTTGGCACACTTGTAGCACCTGAATTTGGTCGCACCTTCTACAGGTAAGTGTTGGGCACAATGAAGCAGTTTCGTGCTTGGTGATGAACTCTCCAGATAATTTCTGCTCAGAGGCAGATTAATTGTCAGAGAGGACTTACGAGATCGTGGTCTTTTGCAGAATCAGGGAATCCCTGACATTTTCCAACCTTCTGTAGGCTGCAAGCAAGGTCTTTTAGCTTTGCGTCAGCTTACCCGGTCTTCCGAAGGTGATATGCACAGTTCGTGCAGGTCTGCCTTTGCTGGCAGAATGTCTTTTGGCATTGGCTCAGGGTGGGTATTGTTTAGGATTGTCTCGAGCGTCGTCCTAGATGTCGTCTCACAGCCAATATGCAACCCTTTGCTGCCAACAAGCTGAAAACAAATGCTTTGCATGCATGGTCATCTGCAACGGATCAAATTTGGTTGCATCGCATCAAGTTACTGAGACATCCATTGACATCCATCACCAAAACCTAAGAAGATTGCAAAATTACTTGGAAAAGAACCCGACGTTTTTTTTGTGTCATTGCCTTTTTGTGTTCGAAACATGATTTGGGCGCGTGCTCAAAATGCAGAATGCCAACCACGAGCCATGATAGGTTCAAGCCAAACCACTGTCAATCCCATGAATCACTTAGGACATTGCCGAGACATTGCTGATCGCGAATGAAATAACTTTTGGATCATGTGCAGAACGACCTTCAACTAGCCAGAGAAAATGCTGAGCAAGATCGAGCAAGACCCCGATGTCCTACTCTCAAAGGCGGTCTACAAAGCAAGTCTACTGAATATATGCTCAGCATTGCCGAGCAGTGTTCTTTTCAAGTGCATCACGGTCTTTGAATTTCTTTGCATCTCTTCTACCGTGAGCTTTTTCATGTGTATTTGGAAGCTGCGAGAGGCCAGATCCCTCCTGAGGGATCCAGAGGAAGCTTGCAATCTAAACACAAGGGGAGGACCTACAGTTTGTCACCCCCTATTTGGCTTTCAGTTTTCACTTCACAAGTGTTTTCTGCCGACCAGTAAGTTTCCTCCTCTCTCCGGGCTAACCCCCGTCTTCCTTTCTTTACAATCCTCCTCTTGCCACTGCTAACTCCATATTTGAGAAACAAACAGTACTTTTATTAGCTTTTATTCAAAAAGAACGTCCCTTGGTTTCACGAGACCCCGCTTGTTCCACAGGTCCCAAACCCTCAATCATAGAGGTAGTGCCTCACTCGTTATGAAGCCCCCATTTTTTTCGAACGAGCATTGGCGGCAAACAAGGGAGGTGTAGCAGCAAAATAGCAGAGAGTTCCCGGTAAGGCCAGGTGCCATGTATACAGGGAGATACAGGGAGCAAGCGACCATCTTTGGTTTTTCTTTCGTTTCGATAATCAGATTCAGTGCAGCATGGTCAAACAGTGCAGAAACTTGTTCAGGTGCTCTCTCAAGATTACCAGTGGACAGGCTGAGTTTAGAGAAGATATGGAGCTTTGACCTCGGTGGGGTCTGACTGGAGCGTTGCAAGTTGAAAAATTGCAGGACTTTAGTGACTTCAGCATCCAGAATGAAGAGGTATTCGAGGATTGTGATATCAGACAGTATCGAAGTTTGCCAACCGAACGGTCTCCGAACAAGACATAATCGATAAAAAAGCGCCGAGGTCGCCTTCAGTGAGACGTATATGCAGCTTGACATTCGAATGCAGTGTGCGTTGTTGGAAACCTCCCATTTTCTCAGAAATTTGCCTGAAGCTCCCACTAGGCCACTAGGCGTCAGAGGCAATAGAACCAGGTGGTAGAAGTTTCATGAAGTCTCCTTTCAACTAGAGGTTTTTTAGTCGGTTCATTTCACACAATTGCGGTGCTTCCTGGGTGGCCCCTGAGTTCATGCATTGGTATTCGGACGATTTTTGTGACAAAAGTACCTTTGACATTGTCCGTGATTGCACTTCATGAAGGCACTTTGCATTCAGTGTCTGCAGAGGAGGGGATTCGCAGAGATGTCTTGGCTCTTGAATTGAAAGCACACCATGACATTCTGACATGCTGGATTGTTTCGATTTACAGAGCTAAGAAGGCATAAACAAACTCGGAATTTACTGTAATTTGTGGAGGTTTAACGATGTGCTTTGAACATCTGTAAGCAAGTTTGAAAAAAATCAAGAGCCCTGTCCAGGCAAATTCTCCTGGAAGCAACGTGAGGATGCTTTCAGGCACCTGTTGCGACTTTACAACATCCTGCAAGCGCTGAAAGTCCTGCTGATCTTTACTGATCTTTTGTTGTGTGTGTCTGAGGATCTCCGGTTCGCAGTCCTTCGGCCCAGGAGAGCCATTTTTCCCCACTCTCTAGATTTTAACAAAGGTGCTGCTCTTCCTCCTTGCCCTTCTTGTCTTGTCCTCCTCAGGAGTCCTCCTCCCTTCCTCCTTCCCGCGTGCTGCACTTGCTGCCATAGCGCCAGCTCCGGATGCTGTGGGGCACGCCTGGGCCCGAACACCATACCGCCAGCTCCGGATGCTGTGGGGCACGCCTGGGCCCGAACACCATACCGCCAGCTCCAGATGCTGTGTGGGGCACGCCTGGGCCCGAACACCATACGGCCAGCTCCGGATGTTGTGGGGGGCGCCTGGAGCTGGAGGGGAGATATTCCGTGTGGATGGTAAGGCAGAAGGGGCAACTGTAGTTATTGGCGGTTGGGAAACCCATGGAGGGACGGTACCATCGGAGAGCAGATGGTTCTCGGTCAGACTCACCCGAAAGAATGCCCCGTGGGTATTCGTAAAAGGTGAACCCTTCAAGGTGATAGCATCCCTGGAACTTCTTGCCATCACGGTGGCAATTATGCTATTTGAACCGGAGGCGAAATGGAAGGGCATGGCGGGGCGGCTATCGCTTACCGCATTCACAGACAACCAAGCTAATAGCTACGTTCTGGACAAGTACATGTCTACAGCATTCTCACTGTCGGTGGTACTGATGGAACTGGCGTTGCACCTCCAAAGATCCCAGGTGGATCTGGATCTGCAGTGGATCCCGAGAGATCAGAACGTGGAAGCGGACGCTCTCACTAATGAGGAATTCGGGGACTTCAATGCAGATCGGAGACTCCCGGTAGAGATCGAGGAACTTAAATTTCTGGTGTTACATCAATTGATGAAATTCGCGGAAGAGATAGACTCCGAGATCACGATGAAGAAAGCATCAAAGGAGAAGACCCCCCGCCAAGATGCCACGAAGAAGATGAGGTTGACACAGCCCTGGTGATCCTTCGGTGGGGTCAGACATCACCAGGATGTGTCAGCACCTCCATGAAAAGTGGCTGCGGGTGGGGGGGGACTCGGAAAGAGAGAGGACTGAAACCTTTAGTGTGAAGGCAGGCATGGACGAAACACGCATGTTTCAGTACGATGTCAAGCCGCCACTTTGGGTACCCTCCCACCTCACCCCCAAAGTGGGGTCAGACATCACCAGGATGGGTCAGACATCACCAGGATGTGTCAGCACCTCCATGAAAAGTGGCTGTGGGTGGGGGGGGGACTCGGAAAGAGAGAGGACTGAAACACACTATACGCTTTACAGTCCACACACTCTACACTTTACACACATTTTACATACACTTTCGCACTTTACACCTCACACTTCACTTTTCACACTTTACACCCCACACTCTACGCATTACACAAGACACTCTACACTTTACACTTGACACTGCGCACTCTACATTTACACTCCACACTACACTTTGCACTTCACGCATTACACTTTACACCACGCAGTCCACACTCTACACTTTACACTCCACACTCTACACTTTACGCTCCACACTTTACACTTGACACTCCGCACTCCACGCTTTACACTCCCCACTCTACACTATAGTTTACACTTTACATCTTACACTTCACTATTTACACTTGACACTCCGCACTCTATACTTTACTCTGTACACTTTACACCCCACACGCTCTACATTCTACACCTTTTACTCTACACTTGACACTGCGTACTATATATACACTTTACACTCCACGCTCTACACTTTACACTTTACACTCCACACTCTACACTTTACACTTCACACTTGACACTTGACACCCCACACTCTACACTTCACACTCCATACTCTGAACTCTACACTCTACATTTTACACTCCACACTCTACACTTTACAGTCCACACTCTACACTTCACACTTTCACACTACACCTTACACTTCACTCTACGCCCTCACAACCTTACACTTTTCACACGATACGCTGTATTGGACCTTGGCTGGGCTTCATTTTCATGTTGTGCACGCACACCTACCTCTCGTCCTCAACTTTGGTTTTGCACTGCGTTGCTTCTACCCGCGCTTCCAAAGGTCCACTCCGATGCCGAAGGTGGACCTTTGAATCTTCCCCAATCACTCGTCATCATGTTGGCTATGTTGAGTTTCCTCATCTTCTTCGTGCAACAGTACAGAAGAATCGTATGTTCTTATCCTCGTCCCCTCCAACATACATCGCCTCAATACGTAGGTTTGGATGTTCACCTTACCAACACGCCCCAGCTTCAGACCCGCCCGTCCACGTTGATGAAAAAGCTGCGCAGCTGCGCTGCACCCTTTGTGTTTTCATGCCAAGCTCCCTGCCAAGCTAGCTTTTGCCCCTTACCCCTCGGCCCCAAGTAGACTGTCAGAACAGATGGCCGACAGAATGCCAGAAGAGAATGTATGGCAGAAAGTATGTCAAAATAGATGCCAGATAGAATGTCAGATAGTGATAGAATGCCAAAGTCAGAGCATATGCCAGAAAGAATGTCAGATAAAATTTCAGACTAGATGCAAGATAGAATGTCAGAATTTGTGTCAGATAGAATGCCAGATAGAATGTCAGACAGAATGCCAGATAGAATGCCAGATAGAATGTCAGACAGAATGTGAGATAGAATGCCAGATAGACTGTCAGATCGGTTTCAGAATATATGTCAGATAGCATGCCAGAAATAATGTCAAAATAATATGCCACGGTGGGGATCACTTGAAGTAAAGTAATCTAGAGAGTTTTGGAGTGCCAAATCATCAGGTGAACATCTTGTTTGTGGCTTACCAGTAGCAGGTGTTTATCAAACATTTTTTCCTGCAAATTCCTGAGCCTGTGTTGGTGCGTATTGCAGTTGCATACTGCCAGCTCGCTTGTGATGAATTGCTGTACTTCGGCCATGGGCAATCTTGACTGATTGTCTGGCAATATCAGGGCGTAGTTTTTTCAAGATTCTTGCTGCCGCAGGATGCTCGTTCGGGCCTGAGAAGGAGATGGCATGAAACTTGAGACGCCGGCTTCAGGCTTCAACGCCCGCGCATGAAATTCGGCCCTGAAGTCTGAAAGTCTTTTCTATCCAAACCTTCGGACCGGGCCAACCCTTTGAGAAAATGAT